AGGGGGAAGATTGCGTATCCACAAAAGCATAGGTAATTATGCTTCGTTTGAGTAAAGAGAAGTACATTGTACATCGACACAATATCACCGGTTCCGTGGATGGCGGCGAGGCACTAAACTGTCATACACAGGAGACCCGAGTTCGATCGCCGCGTGGGGAGAATTCTTGTTCGAGTTTATCGGTCTATCTGCTAGAACGGTGTATCCTTCTCCCAGTCCACTTTGGCTTCTTCGGCTTAGACATACACATTGTTGTCACACGGGCGAAAGTCGATTAAGACGCCATTCCTCGTGGACATCCTAACAATATCGGTTATAGTACGTCGTGAATAATAAAACTGGCATCAACGAAGAAGAGCAACAACAACAACAACAATAACAATGACAACAACAATAACAACTCTGTACACAGAAAACATCCCCGACGGGCACCACCACCACAACCCTACAAGTTTACTCACCCGCCTCGAGACGAACCCTGCGGCACTCCGGCGTACATGCTTACTCCGACGGGGTTAATGGGTCCCAAGTCAAGGGTTAATGGTTAAGGGTCACCAAACTGACCCCCCAAATAACAACAAAAAACCACCACAGAAAGAAGTCTCCAACGATTCAACGCCCTCGAACAACTTTGCCTCTCGACATTCAATCGGGAGTAAAGTAAGTTACGTCGTGGTTACTTCCTTGAAATTTTGTCTTTCTCGGCCTTCGATCGAGAAGAAAATAAGTTTTGGGGTGGCCAATGCCCACTGTCAACGTCGCTGGAAGGGTGGCAGAGGGCGAGGTAGGACGCAAGACGCCAAGGCGTTCAGAAGACGACTCGTGACGTGGGAAAAAGCAGGAAGGGGAAGGAAGGGCTCACTCTGCTAGCAGGGCATGCTGGTGGCTATCTGTTGAAGCAACGAGCTATATTGTAACTAGGGTAGCAGTAATACATGCTAGGTATTCAGAAGCAAAAGCATAGATTAAAGTAAATATAGGTAATAAATCGTAAAACTCGCTCTCACTATTGATGATATTATAATAAAGCATCATCATCATGCATCATCATCATCATCACAATCGTCATCAGTAATAGAAAAATTCAAAAATCATAACGACTACAACAATAATATCGACAATAATAATAATAAAAAGATAAAAAAAAAATTAT